CGTGAAGTGACTTAAAGTAAGATATTACTTAGACGAACATAGAAACGAAATGAGTTACGGAAATTCGTTTCTCAGTGACTAAGTCTTGATGACAGCTTATTTTTCAGGCCTCAGAGTTGCACTCGGGCAGTGTTTCCAACGTTTTTGGTGCTGTTCCAGCGCTACAGTTATGGTAGAAAATAATCTAAGACTAGAGCAGAGTCCTTGCATACACTTGCACCAGGTTATTCTTGGCCGTCCGACCGGTCGGCTGGACAAGTAGTAGCTGTTTCGCCCTCCGTTCTGAGAACATTCGCAACAGGTGCCCAAACCATCCCAGCGGTGACTTCCCAATCTCGAGAAGGAGCGACTGTACACCAAGGCTTTCTCGGATTTCTGTACTCAAGACCATGTCGAGATGCATGAGGGCAGCTGTTAGTCTCAGAAGCCCATTTCGGCAGCTTTTCCCTGGGATTGAAGTTTTCAGTCATGATCTATCACTCATGACCGTAGAAAAGCGTGGCGATGAGGATCGACTTGAGCATCAAGAGCTTAGTCTTCAGACTCAGCTCTGTTATAGTCACAACGGCTCTGGCTAATTGATGCAGAACTCTGCTGCCTTCTCCAATCCGCCAGTCAATCTCTTCCTCAAATTTTCCATCACTAGTAAACACGACTATGAGGTACTTGAACTTCTACATCTGCTTCACTGCTTCCTCGTTTGTTCGAAAGGAGCAACGGACAAAGAACGAGAAAGCATTAGGCTTTTCTTCTTAGATAAGTTCACGCGCATGCCGGCCACGTAGCACTCGGCTGCGAATCGTTCGAGAGAACGCTAGAGATCAGTTTTAGGAGATGCAGATGCCAGCAAATCATGATTGTCTGTAAACAGCAACCTTCGTGTCTTCCCATCTCCTGAGCTGATATTTTCGTCGCCATGCGTGCCTTTGTCTTTCCTGTCAAAGAACAACACAAGTATGAGAGGGGCAGAACACAGCCTTGGCGGAGACCACTGCCAACGTTGAAACATACCGACTCGGCTATTTACTCTGACGCAGCACCTGCTCTATACATATAACAACTGACTATCGATCCCCTATGTTTGCAGGCACGTCCATAGTTTGTTGCGCAGAATCAGGTCATTGAATTTCTCCAGGTTATGCAGACCAGATGAGCGAACTCCCGCTGTTTCTCAATATTCTGGTGTAAGGTGAAAATCTGGTTAGACGCGCTTCGACGTGTGTTGAAAC